TTCTCAGTTTTTCGTTTGACGATAGACAATCTGCCAGGAAAAATGACGTTTTCAACCTGCGTTCAACATTTAAATGCACTTTATTCAGATTTTGAAAGCATGTATGAGAATGCTTTGTGACTTTGGTTAATATGACAGTAGGCAATGAATTAACCTTCTCACGTTGAAAAAAAATGTCACATTACAAGATGAACTGATCGGAATAAGCGTTAACGGAGACCAAAAGTAAAGCTTAGAAACGGAAGCCAGCAATTATGACTTTAAAAAGACATACCTGCCATTTATCCCGATAACGAAGTATTGTGAGAAAGTTTTTAATTGCTTCTTTTTCTAGGAGTTTCAGAGCGGTTGCCAATCTCCAAAATGAAAAAGAAAGAAAGAAAAAGACTGGACACTACTATATATAACCGGTGAGATTTAGGGTTAAACCTGAAAAAAATGATGCTAATGTTGAAACTTTGTTATTGGAGCATGAGATGCATCCCTCCCATTATAAACCTTTTTTTTTTGTGGATCAGTTATTTTATGTATTATATAAATTTTAATTAAGTTAGCATGTGTGTGTTTCTTAAGTTTTAAACTCTATGCTTCACTAGAGTTATAAATTTAAATCTTTTAAAGTAAGTACATCTATACCAGATGTCAAAAAGACATTTAAATTGATAAATTTGCAAAAATTCTGCATTTGGTAAGTACCAATCGAAAGTACTACCCAATCGGGTACTACCCAAAATCGAAAAACAAGGCAAGGGGTCTATGAAACAAAAAGTCTGGAAAACTCTGCTTTAAATACATGAATTTATATTTCTAATAAATGAAATTTGAAATCAACTGGGAAGTGGGTGTAGTTAAGGGGGGAGGGGGAGAGAAATACCAACAAAAATAAAGAACCACACACACATGAAATTTTTTGCATATTGATGTATTTTTACATCACAAAAAAAAATCTATATTTTTCTTGTATAAATTTATAAGTACACGCAAAGATATAAATATGATTCGCTACTTTTACCTTGTTTTTATCCGAAAACAATTTTTCCTGAATATTTTTATTACTTTTTGTGTAATTGAAATTCCTAACTCCCGCTGAAATGATGTCGTACTCAAACAAGAGCGCCAACAAAAAAATTTCTCAGATAAAGAAATAAACTGTCAAGCATTTTCCTTGCGTTCGAAAACGATAAAATAATTTTCGTAAAATTAAAATTAAAAAAAAAAAAACACTATGCGAAAAAAGTAGCCACATAAAGAGACGCATATCTACATCGAATTGCACTTGAGAGTTAATCTTTATATTTAACTAATAAATTTCAAAATTAATGAAATTTCAGTTGAATGTATAAAAAATTATCTAACATCAAATACAGAGAAAAACATATTATTATCTTTTATGAAATTTTATATTAAACCTCACATTTGTCGACACCGTTATTGTATATTGTATGTACAAAACATTATTTTTTAAAAGCAATGTATAGATTTTAAAAAAGTTAAATTTATAGGCTACCATAATATTTTACGCTAAAAAGTCATTGCTTATTGAATCTGACCGAATAAAAACTTAACGTAAATGAAAATAAAAAAAATTATTTTTATTAATAGATGACATGACTTGTTTTCTATCAAAATATACAAAATTTAATGTGAAACATCAAGCATGCCGCCCATCCGGTATAGTGGTCAGTGAAGCTGACTGCGGGTGCCGCAGGGACTGGGTTCGAATCCCGGAGAAGGCATGGATGTTTGTGTTGTAATCCTTTCTCTTCTGTGTTGTTTACCCCCGTGTTATACGTTCGGTGGTGCACGGGGTTTATTAAATGTTAAAAAAAAAAAAAAAAAAAAAACATCAAGCATTTTATATTTCCAAAAACAGCAAATTGCTACCGTGAAAAACATTTGACCCATGGGGGGATCGAATTTCGCGTTATTAGCACGACGCTCTAACCAACTGAGCTAATGGGGCCACGTACTTTCTTAGACATTTAAATTTATCAAAATTTGGGTCTGGTATAAAAATTATCATTGAAATATAAAAATGTTTATAAAGAAAGAGAGTGTTAAGAAAAATAAAATTGAAAAAGTATTTGATGTTTCACATTGAACATCAATGATAATAACAAAAATCACTGCTCAGAAAAAATGTGCATTCAGTTTTATCAAACCAAAAAAAAAGTGAAACAATAAAACAGGCGAACAAAAAAATATTTTCGGAAAAGAAGTTGTTTTTAAGTTTTGAAAAAGTGGGATAACAAGGGAAAAGAAAAAAAAGTAACAGAAAAAAAAATTTCCATTGCATCGGCCGGGAATCGAACCCGGCCGATGCAATGGCCGCCCGCGTAGCAGGCAAGCATTCTACCACTGAACCACCCATGCTCATAAACTTGAAAACTTTCGTAGAATTCCTAACATAGATAAAATGCTTAATTTTGAACTTCAAAACAGATATATGTTTATTACTAAGTAGAATACAATAAAAATAATTAATCAGTGGTATACACAAGGATGGGACTCGGGGTTCAAACCCTCACTAAGGCTACCAGATTTTTAATTTTTACCATAAAGATTACGCCTCAGCTCTTCCTCTCGTTTACGTAATTTTAGAATTTAAATCTCCCTTTCCCTTAAAAAGAGAGGTCTGTATATACGTTACTACTATAATAGCTAAAAATATTTTTATTTAAATTTGTCGAATTAAATTCGATTGGTACTACATCATAATCTTTGCAGGGTAGCGTAAGCGGTCCAACAGCTAATTGTAAGAAAACACTTTATTTCTGGGTTAAATATTTACTATCTAGAAAACACACAATATTATATTATTAAAGGTTTCAGTTGTTCACTGGGAAGAAAAAATAAAGTCATGTTCCAGGGCAATTTTGCCGTCCTGGACAAAATGAAAAATGCTGCCTCCCCAAAGTTAAAAAAAAATATTATTAGAAAAAATAAATTTTCTTCATAAATACATATGAAAAAACATGAATATTTTTTTTGCGAAGAAAAAGGCAGCATAACAGTATATGCAATATAAATATTTATTAAAAGCTAAAACACAAAAATAAAACTAATAAAAAAATTACAAGAATTATTTTCTGACTTTTAATTCTGAAAACTTTCTGATCAATCCTTTTAAATCAATTTATTCGGCTATTTCATGTTCGATAGTCAAAGTAGCTAAGCCATTCAATCTATTTTGAAAAATTGTGGACCGTAAGAAATTTTTTTATTAATTTTAATTTTGACAATCTTTCTCTCCACTCTCTCTTCTCTCAAAGAAAGCAAAATTCTTAATGCAACAGCAAAATTTGGAGCACACAAATTCTAAAGCTGAAATAAATTTTGAAACTTCAATTGGGGCTTCCTTTTTTTCCTATAAAAGCTGAGACTGATATTATCTCATCTGTTAGATCAAGTGCGTTTATATCCACTGATTCTCCATCGGTCAACATCATTTCTAAATTTTTATAGGTCTTAATTAATTAAATTTTTAAGGGTATCTCCTTAAGTAATATTATTGTACAAAAATTGGAAACAATTACATCTAATTAAATTTTTAAGGGTATCTCCTTAAGTAATATTATTGTATAAAAATTGGAAACAATTACATCTAATTAAATTTTTAAGGGTATCTCCTTAAGTAATATTATTGTACAAAAATTGGAAACAATTACATCTAATTAAATTTTTAAGGGTATCTCCTTAAGTAATATTATTGTATAAAAATTGGAAACAATTACATCTAATCAAATTTCCATTCTAAGACATTGTTTGCTCCATTGTTAAAAAAATAAAACTCCATATTGAATTTTAATTCAGGATCATCTCAAGTTTCGTAATCAAAATTAACATTTTCCCGTCGAACCCTGTGACGTAGCTGTCTCATCTGAAAGTTAACAGGGATATCAATCTCGGCGGTTAGTTCTTTTGCATCTCAGAGCATTTCATCAAAAGCCACATCCTATCGAAAATCCTTAAAAAAATCTTTACAATTTCTTGAGAGTTCCATAGCAGATGGTAGATCGTAAACTTCTGTCTGCAGTAGCTTGCTTGTCGGATTTATGCTATTTAAGATTTTATACCACATAATTGTGGAGCATAGAAACTTTTGGTTTAATAGAATTTAATTATCCAGGCTCCTCATCTCTTATAGAGTTGCTAATTTCAGCCTTATCATAAACACTAAATCATGGGTTTCTAAACTATGACCGCTTGTGGGCCGCGTTGCAAAAATAAATATTTTTTTCTGGGCCACACATGCAATATTTTTTTTAACTAATTGAAGTAAAAATTAAGTCTATGTGTGACGGATCTATACGGTCTTTGACTAACCTCCTCTATTTTCTTTAAAAGAATTTATTTATTTCACCCAATCTTCATCGAGAGCTAGGTGTGATTTATGTAAATAAGATACATTGTATAAATTCGGGTTTCGCGAGTTAAAAAGTTAAGTGATAGGAAGAGTGAAGTTAAGTGAATTAAAGATCGAGACAATCAGCACGAAGTTGTTAGCAATCGTAGATAGCCTGTTACGTGTGGAGGTACGCGAGGAGAAGCGGATTGAATATAGTGAAAATCCTTATTAGGCTTCCTTCACACCAAACGAATCCCAGAAAATCGCAATCAATCCGAACCACAGCCAATCTAACTGAACAAGATTCGGCTTCGTAATTTCCACACTGAAATAAGCCTATAACCCAGGGGTATCCAATCCATGGCACGCTGCTACAGTGTGGCACAGTGGAGCTGTGATAGGGACACTCGAAGATTTAGTGAAATTTTGAAAATACATTGAATAATAATAATTTTTTTGCAATTTAATTAAAATGCGGTTATCAAAGACAAAAAAAAAAACTCTAAATTTATTTTAAACACAATTAATTGAATTACAATTTAAAATTATCATGTAAAGAATACTCCTACATTGTTGTGTGCGCTGGCTTTCAAAATAAAGCAACTCGCAAGATTTGGAATTATAGGGAGCGTATTGTAAAATATCTGAAAGTAAACAATGAGCTAACTTTCCAGTGAGTGGTTGCTATTCAAGATTAAAGACTGGCTATTGGATTAAACTTTTCATACCGATATTATAGGACATTTGAATAATTTAAATTTAAGATTACAGAGAAAAGATTGTATTTCCCAACCTTAGATGATTAGCTATCTTCTCTAAACAAACTTTTGTATCTTTTGTCTCTATTTTGAAGAAAATAGATTAACACGTTTCACAGTAATGCAGTTACTACCTCCGATCCATATTAGATTTAAGAATTTAATATTCATTTTGAAGGATTCACTCAGTGCTAAGTTGGAATGATTTGCAAGATGATAAAACAAAATTATGATCTTTTCATAAGTACTTTTTTAATTTCTGTACAAGACATTAATTTTTACCCAATAGTAATCCAAATCGGAATTATTAACTTACAACATCATACTATACCATACAAATATGAGGAAATTATTTCAACTCAAATCATCCTAATTATGTTGAATTTAAAATTTTAACCAACATTCAATGTTCCAAATTCACACGATTTGGATGTCGGGTATTGTTGTAGTTTTGATCAACATATGGTTGTGAACAAATGTTTTCTATCATTAACCTAATAAAATTATAATATCGCTCTAAATTAACTGATATTTACTTAAAACAACCTAATTTTAGTAAACATCTATAAGAACTAATTCAACTAAAGATGACTTAGCAAAAAGAACTACAAATTAAATAGACACATTTAGTACTACTATTTAGTAGTAAAATAGAATAAAATGTTTCAAGTTACTCCTTTTTATTTTATTCCTATATAATACAGTGTTTCTCAAACTGTAGGCGTGCGTCCCTGGGAGCGTGAGCATATCGAAAATAAAAGATTAAAAATTAATTTACTGAAATGAAGTAAAACAAAATTCTTTCTGACATAATAAAGAACACACATTCTCATTGATATAATTTATACATATCATTTGACGATACTACGTGATCGAAAATAAAAACTTCATTACGCCTATTAGCTATCTTTAATCCAATGGCCAAATAAAAAAACATTTTGTTTTATTTGCTGTAATCCCACGAGAAATATGAGAGATTTTTTTTTTATTGTTTTCTTTTTAAAAATAAAATACTACTCTTTCAAAGAAAAATAAAGCCCAGTCCCAGAATAAAAAGAAATTCTAAGATAAAAAATTCATCACTGTTATTATTATTCAAATACTGTACATTAGCAGTAAGAAGAAAGCAAGACTCAATTCACGTTTCGCCCCAAAAGCCACATACATTTGCGGATCATCTGATTGACCTTCAATTTTAAATACTATGGTTAGTTCTGTCTCTTCTTTTATGTGTGTTTATTTTCGTTTAGGGAAGTTGTAAATAATGTATTTCTGTTGCACTTTTTTTCCCATGTTAAAGAAATTTATGATATTTAGAAAAGCACAGAGAGCACTTTGCAGGATTAATGGCCAAGATTTATTTAAGTATTCTTAAACGTATAAGCATAATTAAAAAAATTTTACATAATTCTTTTTATAACTAACATCTACATTTTTATATTTTATACATCCATATTTTTATAACATCCAGATATTTATTTTACTTCTAACAAGGGAGCAGTCACGCGGGGCACAGAGCAGGTTTATCCATCAGGCACTTGGGGCAGGCAGCCAGATAAGCTGGATTTAACCAGATCAGAGACCCTCCTTGGATCTGACAATGCCAAGAGAACTTCGTAGTAGAACTTCTGCGCCCATGGCCCGAAATGAGCTTAAACCGGCTCAGTTTGTCTCCTTTATTAGTCACGCACATCTGAAACATTTTAGTTCAGTTTGATTGGATTTTTTTCAAATACTTAAGAGAAAAATTGAAAAGTCCTCGAAAGAAGGTAAGTATACTTTCTCTAAATTGTTCACTGAATTACGATTTTTGTCCTGCATTATAAAATTAATTATAAAAAAAAAGGATTGGGGTGGCTCAGTCACCCCCGAGCGACCATTAACGTATATATCGAGTGCGCGTTTGCTCCCGGATTAAAACATTTTGAAGTCTTCTTGCTTCAAAACACAATTACTCTTTATATCCTAAATAGAGCAACGTAGACTAGACTATTTTTCTAATGATATCTGAATTCTAAGAAATGGATGATGGAGGAAATATGTATTATTAAAGGCATATGTTTTTGGAAACGTGACTTAAAAAAAAGCGTATAAATGGATAATTTTCATTATATTTAAGTGTCACTTTGATTGTAATACATGTTTTAAACTATTTTAAGAGTTCTATTACAATAAGAAATTATTTAAATGCAATATTTTGGCAAAAAAATGAACTTAGAATTAATTTTCAAAACTTTCTCCTTTCATGAAAAATGCTTCTATACTAA